ACCATATAAAATTGTTGTAAACATGGCATGACTACTTCATAAATTATAGATACGTTGGAGATGTATCACTTGTCTATGAGATCTTACATTGTATAATACGTCCTAAATGGTCTCTAGTCCGAAAGTGATATGTGGACACTAATCGGGCTAGACCGGCATGCATTATGGAGGATGATGAGCTGCATTAGCTCAATGGAGAACTCAGGCTATGGGGACGATGTCGATAGTGATCATGCCACGAAATCGGAGTACTTCGAGGCCTCGTCCCATGAGATGATGGTGAGCAGCAGGTGCACGACGGTGGCAAATTTGCATGTAGGTCACTAGTGAGGTGTGTGATGCACTCAATGGGGAAGCGGTACTTGGCTCGGAGCTCCTCAACCCTATCCTGGGCGCACAAAGACCGGGACGTTGCCCTAGGCATCATCAGGGGCTTGGGTCGGCGACTGCAGCGGCGACGCCATTGAGGGGGTCGGCGGTGTTAGAGACACGATGGTCCGAGTCGCTGGGGATATCTAAGTTTTATAAAGTGGTATGTAGGAATATCCCCAATTCCTTATTTAAATGGATGGGGTCATTTATGTAGTGGAGCTTACATTATCTGTTTTCCTCTGTGTCTTTGAGTTATCACAACCATTTCTATTTATCTCTTGCATGTTTGGACTCATTTTTGCATGCGAACATGAAGAGTCACATGCCACTGTTGTTTGGTACATGCAAATGTGAACTCATCTTAATATATGTACACATACATAATGTCCAACAAAGGATTATTTCCATTCTTCAAATGAAGTTTAAATATTTCTTGATTTGTCAAGAAATTTCCCTCTATGGTTATGAATACTTGGTTTTATGGGGAAATTGGGTTGCATCTGAAACTAAAAACATACCTCAATCTTCATTATACCAACAAAAACCTGCCTGCTCTTTTCTGTTGTTAGCCTATAATATCCCAGTCTATATATACTATATGATCGCGCGCGCACGCACACACACAAAGATGAATTTGTGTGCCAGAGTTAGAGGAATTGATTCTTGAGAAAAATAGAAGAGTAAATTTCAATAATTTTCTACAAAAGTACTCACTTTCTCCGAAAATAAGTGTCTCAACTTTGTACTACCTCCGTAAACTCATATAAGATGTCTTAGCTCACTAGATCTTATATTAATTTACAAAGGGACACTTATTTTGGGACGGAGGGAGTATGAGATTCCAATTAATTAAATGTTTGTTGTTTCTTAACTTAATGGACAATGATCATACATACGATCATTGTTATTGTTGTCTGTTAACTTAATAGACTTTGTTAGCAACGAACATACCTACAATCATTGCTATAATAAGATATAGTTTAGTCTACTTTTTGGTTTTCTTCGTAATCTTTGAATATAATTTGTGCATTCATGAGTTTTATGTGCTATTTTGTAATTCCTATTTTTGGGTTTCATAAAACACCTATCCTGATTCTCCTATTCCCTCTTGTTTGTTCTCTGGTCTCTTACCATTGGCCAATTCATGCTTCTAATGTTCCCCCGACCTGATAATATTCCTGTAGAATTTTATCAGGTCTGTTGGGAGATAGTTAAGAATGATATCATGGCCCTCTTTGATCATTTTCATCGAGGAAAGCTTGATGTGAAGCGCCTCAATTATGGGATGATTACCCTTTTGCCTAAAGTCTCTAGTGCTGAGAGAATCCAGCAGTTTAGGCCGATTTGCCTACTCCGTTGCCCTTATAAGCTCATAACTGAAGTGCTCGATCAAAGGGTTGTTGTTTATGCAGATAAGCTAATCAGCCTCACCCAGAATGCTTTTGTGAAAGGTAGGAATATCATGGATGGAGTGCTTTCACTCCATGAGATACTCAACTATACTCATGTTAAGAAGAGAGTGGGGATTGTTCTTAAGCTAGATTTTGAAAAAGCCTACGACAAAGTAAACTGGGATTTCCTCCTTGAATGTCACAAAATGCGGGGCTTTAATGAAACCTGGTGTGGGTGGATTAAACAAATCCTCTTCGAGGGAACAGTTAGCATCAAGTTGAATAACTGCACGGGCCCGTACTTTCAAAGCGCCAAGGGGGTTTGCCAGGGGGATCCCCACTCCCCCTTCCTGTTCAACCTGGCTGTTGAATGTCTCACCAAAATGATTAAAAATGCCCAAAAAGAATAGATGATCACGGGTTTAGCATCTGACCTTATTCCTGATGGGGTAGCTGTCTTGCAGTACGCAGACGATACCATTATATGCCTGGAGGATGATGTTGATAAGGCCGTCAACATGAAGTTGCTGCTCTACCTGTTTGAGATGATGTCTGGATTAAAAGTTAACTTTCAGAAAAGTGAAATCCTCACTGTGGGAGGGGATGAGAATGTTGTCAAGAAATATGCAGATCTGTTCAATTGTGAGATAGGCAACTTCCCCATTAAATATCTAGGCATGCATGTGAGCTATACAAACCTGAGGAATTCTGATTGGGAGTTCATTGTGAGTAAGTACTTGAAGAGATTTGAGGCCTAGGTGTGTAATGCGGCCTCGATGGGGGGAGACATACCCTGTTAGACTCTGTGGTCACACAAATCTCTTTATATCATATGTCGATGTGGCTCATGAACAAGACCTTTATTGAAAGGTTGGATAAGCATAGAAGGAGATTTTTCTGGCAAGGGTGCAATAAGAAAAGAAGACACCATCTTGTGAGATGGAGTAGAATATGCAGATCCAAGGAAAAAGGGGGGCTGGGAATCAAAGACCTACGGAAGCAAAACATAAGCATGATGGTCAAATGGTGGTGGAAACTGGAAACACAGAAAGGGCTCTGGCAGGATATTTTCCGGGCCAGATATCTTCGTAATAAATCTGTTGCGGATGTCACAGCCAGATTTTCTGACTCACCTTGCTGGAAATCTCTTATTAAGGTCATATACATGATGGGCAGAAAAATTGACACTAAAATGGGGAACATAACTAGGTTGTGGAAAGACTCGATTAATGGGTCACCTGCTCTTCAGGAACAATTTCCTCAGTTGTTTGGTATTTGCAATTTCCCTGACTTTACTTTGAACAAGTGGAATGGCAATGACACCAGCTCGTTCTTTAGACGCAGGCTTACCCCTGATCTGCTTAGGCAGTGGGAAGAACTGCTATCTATTGATCAAAACATTCCCCTTACAAAAGACGGAGATGGTGACAAAGTTGTTTGGGGGCTTACACAAAACGGCAAGTTCACTACTAAATCTGTGTATAAGTTGCTGGAAAAACTCCTTGCTGGGTGTAACTATAAGTGGATATGGAAAGCCAAAATCCCTCTTAAGATTAAAGTCTTCTTATGGCAGTTATCTCAAGATGCGGTTCTCACAAGGCAAGTGATGAGGGAAAGAAAATGGCCAGGGAATCCTTGTTGTTCTTTCTGCATGGAGGTAGAAACATCTAAACACCTTTTCTTTACTTGCCCAGTTGCTAGGGTGGTTTGGAGATCTATTGGGGTTGTTTTGGGCACTGACAATTGCCCCAACAACTACTGGCAATATTTCGTTTGGTGCAGCAAATTTCTCCCTGGCAAAGAAAACTTTTATACTGTGGGCTTAGCTGCTACCTGTTGGGCCATCTGGTTGGCGCGTAACCGGGCCACTTTTGAGAAAAAGTTGATTGAAACTCCTTTTGAGATTGTTTTCTCCCTTTGTTCATTGCTGTTGTATTGGACAGGTTTGCAGAAAGAAGAGGCGGCTGGTGAGCTGCGCGCTGGTGCAGAGATGATCAGGGGCAACACGATGCAGTTGATGAAGTTGTGTAACTCTGTCAAGCAACCAATACAGAGCTCGTGAAGATCGTAGCAGCCTTGGAGTTGGGGGCGATTCTGCAGCCTTGGAGTTGGGGGCGATCATCTTCTCCGTTTGCTCTCACCGCTTGATATTGTTGCCTGGTCGTGCTAGTTTGGGCATCTCGCTATGTCGTTTGCGCTTTTGTGGCCGTTCTTTTGTTGGTTATGAATGTAATAGACTGTAATATGGGTGTTACCAGGTTTTCGCCCCACGGCATCCGTTTCGATGGCGAGCGGGTGTGGTGGGTTTCCTGGTAATGCTTGAACTCGCTCTAGCCTCTTTCCCTCCTCCTGACAACTTGAACTGGTTTGTATTTCTGTTCTTGGTAATGGAAAGGGGTAAAGCCCGGTTCAAAAAAATGTACAGGTACTAGGTGCCTATTATAGCTATTAAGTCCAGTGCAAAGATGATAATATGTTGCGGAAGGGGTGATTTTAAGATATGGACAAGATAATTGAGTTCTTAAACTATTTTTCTTCAGGTTATGTTGATGTATAGAGGCATGCATAAAGTTAGGATTAGTGGCTAATGAGAGAGAAGGAGTAGGCTCTTCCTTAATATTCTTTGAAACTAAACTTTTCAACTTTATATAGCATAATACCGTAAAGTATACTGTCTTATTACTATGGTTGTTGATTTCTTGTTATAAGTTTGCTATATTTTTACGTTTGATTTAATTGCATTCATACAATGAGTTTTGACTTGCAGCTTGCACCTGATCATGCATGTATGCTTCCTTTAACAAAATGAACAAGTCTTGAAAGCACTGTAATTGGAATAATAGAACATGTCAACAGTGAAACTTCGGAATACTCTGCGGTGCAGCAAAGCCCTTCTAGTTATAACTATGGGTGACAAAACGGGAACACGTACCGCCTTGTCTTTCACATATAATGTTCGGAAGTAAGTTTCCAAAGAGTACACAGCCTCGAGAAGTGACCAAAATAGCCATGCACACTGATTAAATACATCTGGACAAAACGTTACACCCTGCCTCAAAATGTAAGACAGAGGGACTACATTCATAGTGTAAATATCGATGCTTTGTCAGTAACAGATCCCAACTAAGTACTATTTGAATCAGGCTATTTCAACACCAACATGTTACAAATGGTACATTTGCTGAGTGAGCAAGCAGCCCCACACGTAATGGATAAAGCAAAAGCACAATATTACTGCTACCATTTTCTTTGGAAAACAGGATGTATATTCACATTCAATCCCTCCACCTTCTCCATCCGAGCAATACATGCGTTCATTTTCTCCAGTACCTTGGGCACGGCCGCGATATTTGCCTCAGTCTTGGATTTGAACAACTTTAGCTTTTCAACCATATTTTGTTCAGCTTCAGCGTGCGAGGTTGCAGCGGTAGATTGTGCTTCACTTGGAACTTCTGCAATATCAATGCTGATGTCAGCCTTGGTGTACTACCAACTTTTTGTAAATTGTCACTTCGTTATATATGTTTGCCCTTTATTCATGCCATGAAAACTGATGTTTAATCTTCCATGGTTGTAAAGTGACAGGTTGAGCTCGCAGTCAGGTATTTTTCGAGTAAATAACAGCGAATTTAGTAGGGGCTCACTTCTGAGTTCTGATGAGGCGACACATATTTAGTTGAATTTGCAAAGGAGAAAACAGGGCGAAAAGAATAGCGGTGCACTTTTTTAGCTTTGGCATTTGAAAGGGCAAATAATTCTAGGTTACAGTTATCCCAGCAATTGCCGACCAGATAACAAACCCAGCAAAAACTACAATACAACCAATCAGGATCCACTCTGCCAGCTCACGTCTTATAAAATAACCATGGAACATGTTTTCTTACACATAATATATCTCAAACTTTACATAATTCCCATTCACTCACAGCAAACACAACACATCCTGTAAGGTCAAGTGATAATTTGCCAACAATTCGTTTCTTAACTGAACTAAGTTGAGATTACCATAAGAAGAAATAAGCATGAATTTCTAGGTTCTGTTTCACGCTGCAGTCGATTATAATGATCATGTTTGCCTAACAAAATTATGCATATTTTGCTGTTTGGCTAAACCCCTAATACCCCGGTCATAACATTTCCACGACTGATTATAAAGTTAGTTCCACATAACACAACAAAGGTTAGCAAGCACAAGCTGAGCCTTAGCAAATATTGTCGAGCACAAGTGGCAATCAAATAACTTACCTAGACTAGAAATCAATGATTCCTATGATTATTTGAGGAAAAATTGTGCAAACAGAAACAAATCCCTCCCTCCGTTTCTCTCATAGCTCAAAAGTGTCAACATAGATCCAAAATGATGGCTTTTACCCATGTCTCCCTATTCCCAAGCCCTGACTACCAGTAAATCACAAACAGGGGCATTTTTCTATGTTATACTTCAATTACTACCTATCAATGGGCAAATCATACAAATCCCCAAAATGGGGACGAATTAACCGGAAATCCTAGTACTGGACCAAGGCCGGAAGCGCGCATACCTACGCAGGCGGGCGGGCGGAAGGCGACGAGGCGCGATATTGTTGCGTCTATGAAGCGGGCGGCGGCGTCACGGCGGTGCTCGAGTGTTCGGCGGCCCAGATCGGCCACCTCCCTCTCTAGCTCCTCAATGCCCCCCTCGTCCGCTTCGTCCGTCCCTAAGGAGGTGGAGGAGGAGGCGAAGGCGGAAGACGCAGGGGCATTCTGCTTTAGGCGGCTGGGCGTTGCTCCGGCTTGGCTCGGCAACGGCGAGCCCCCCGTCATGGGGAGCTAGGAGTGCGTGGGAGCGGAGGCGACCAGAGAAGTGGACGAAGGAGAGGCGGAGAGAGCGATTAAATTTCGACAGATGGGAGGTGGGACCCGCATTAAAGTTGGCTCTCTTCTCTCTTCTTCACTTCTTGTGAAAGAGGAGGGTTCACTTCTGATTTCTGAAATCTCGAATTCAAATGAAATTAGGCGGAGCAACTGACACAATGTCATTTGAAAGCAGCCTCTCTCTCTCCACCCTAGCCGTCGCCGCCAGATTTCTTTCTCGGATGCGTCTAGTGGGCGCATGTGCGCCCGGGATTGTTTGTGAGCGGCCTACTGATTTAGAAAGTGTTTGTCCCCATGTGGTCCAATACTGTTAAAAAAGGAAAGTGCTAATTAATCATCACCCGTGTTCTGGATGCCTGCATTTCTTTTGCTGGATACCCACGTTTGTCTTTTGAGTATTTAATTTGAGTTCTTTTTTTTAAGGCATAACTTTCAAATCATGTGTCGAAATTCATATCCGTTTTGATTGTTGGAACCCTCCCAGCATGCTCTTTGAAACTAGATCCCACATGAGTATATTTCAATGAAAATAAATTGTGCAATTTTGTTCCCATTTTATGCAACTGACTAGCTGTCGATGTGCAACTATCTGACAAGGATGTGCAACTTTTCTCCTATACTGTAGACGTGTAGTTTTCCTCTATGGTACCTCCACCCCCAAACTACCTCCTTCGAGTGAGATGTGCAACTTTGTCTGTTGCCCAGGCCAAGTGCATAGTAGTTGATATGCAATTTTCCCGCCCGTGGATGTGCTTGACTATTTGCTACACCGGCCAAAAGCCTAACAATGGATGTGCAACTTCGAATACTACCATGGCCAACTGTCTAGCAGTGACGTGCAACTTTCCCTCGTACTTCGTGGATGTGTAGTTTCCCTGCTAGCACCTGGCCCAACCACCCATGCTAGTGAGATTTGCAACTTTGGCACTCTATTTATATTCAACATTTCACTACCCTCATGAATTTCATTTTTTCACCATTCAACTGTCTCTGCCTGTGAGATGTGTAACTTCGTATGTTGCCCTGGCCAACTATGTAGCAGACTATGTGCAACTCTATTTATTGCCCCCGCCAACTGAAAATACATGTCCACAAATAGGGAAAGGAAGGAGTTGCACATTGACTAATAGACAGTTGGCTTGCACAATAGACTAACTTGCACATATCGCTTGCAGGGAGAGGTGGGGCAGGGTGTGCCAATAGTAAAAAAACTACACATCACCGAGTAGAGAGAAGGGTTACACATCGACTACTAGGTAGTTGGTTGAGACAGTTCACTAGCTCTATAGTGGTAAGTAACATACTCCCTCCGTCCTTCAAAAAGTGTACTTCCAACTTTGTTGGTGGGTCAAACTACCTCAAAATTTGACCGAGTTTGTGCAAAAATATATCTATGTTTGTGAAACCAAATAGGTATATGATGAAAGTGTACTTTATCATGACTCTAATGCTACTAATTTGATGGTATAAATGTTGATATATTATTATATAAATACGGTCAAACATAAAAAAAATTGACTTTCCAACAAAGTTGGAAGTACACTCTTTAAAGGACGGGGGGAGTATGTGGTAACATGCAACACTCCATTTATCAGGTTGGTCATAGTGGAGAGTAACTTAGACTAGTAACATACATATGTTACTAGTCTATGTTACTACCTTCATAATGGATAGTGTCATAGGTGTGGTAACATAGTTGCCTTCATTTATTACTTTGTAGACTCATTATGCATTGGAAACCGCTATGTGATGGTAACATATTATGTTACTCTATTTGCCTCTCTCCTCATTAACTACTTGCCACATCACCAATTTTGCTTATGTGGCATCTATGTTACTACCTATGTTACTCCCACTATGACCAGCCTCAGGTTATAGACACATCTTGCCTTGATATGTGTGATGTTACTCATACTACTAATAACTAGCTATGTTACCACTTTCCTATCATCTTCATTTATTGATTGCCACATCATCTATTTTACTCCTACAGTGGGTAGTCTATGAGACATGTAGTAAGTTTTGGCACTAAGTTTCAAGTAACAGAACTTAATGTTCATCTATACTATTCAACTGAACGCATTATGATGGAGTGGTTGGAGTGCAACGTTTGACCACTGCAGCCTCCTCGGTGTAATGGCGTGTGTGGTGGGATATAATTTAAGTAGTTCTTGGGGTAGTGCACTACTGTTGCCTCTGTACTTCACTCTACAGCGAAAACTTGCTTCTATGCATGGCGGCATGTGTTATGCTTATCTACGCCATACATGCACCACGGGATCAGGCCAACTCCACCATGCAACCCCAAGCGGACGTCCGTTTTGGCCGGGTTTTGTCCCTTTGGGTAGGGCGATGGGCCGTGTCCGGGCGTGTCCTAGGATGCGGTGGCCGTGTGCCCAGCGCACAGCCGTAACCGTTTGCCCCATCCTGTCCGCCAGGCCCAAAAATGCCCATATTTTCATATCAAAACTAGTTTGCACGTCCAAATATTAATTGTCTGAAAATAAAAATAGTTTTACAACCCAATCAAAATTGTCTCTAATAAAATATTTATACAGCCAAATCGAAATTGTCTTGAATGAACATAAAATGAACCAATACATCTATTGGTTGCCAATGTGATCCCACACGTGCTCAACCAAATCATTTTGAAGATTCAAATGAGTGTGCCAATCACGCAGCTCACGATGGAATTGGACAAACTGTTCAAATGTGGCCGGTTCCACGTGCAGGGGCTCAACATTCTCACCTTGATAATCAAATCCTTGGTCAAAGATACTCTCATCACGCTCGCCCTCGACGATCATGTTGTGCATGATCACACAAGCAGTCATCACCTCCCAAAGCTTTCTTTCATCCCATGGCAGTGCAGGGTTTTAAACGATACCCCATCGGGATTGAAGCACACCAAAAGCACATTCCACATCCTTTCTAGTACGCTCTTGCATTTGGGCAAATCTTTTTCTCTTCTCACCTTGGGGGTTTGAGATTGTCTTCATAAAAGTTGACCACTGAGGGTGTATACCATTAGCTAGATAGTATCCCTTGTTGTACTGGCGGCCGTTGATCTCAAAGTTGACAGGTGGGGAGTGGCCTTCTGCAAGCCTTGCGAAGACTGGAGAACACTGCAGCATGTTGATATCATTGTGAGAACCTGCCATACCGAAGAAAGAATGACATATCCAAAGATCATGTGAAGCCACTGAGGGAGTCCTAGATTAGGGGGTATCCGGACAGCCGGACTATATACATTGGCCGGACTGTTGGAGCGTGAAGATACAAGACTCAAGACTTCGTCCCGTGTCCGGATGGGACTCTCCTTTGCGTGGAAGACAGGCTTGCCGACCCGGATATTATATTTTCTTCCTTGTAACCGACTCCATGTAAATCCTACCCCTCTCCGGTGTCTATATAAACCGGAGAGGTTGTTCCATAGAGGGACGATCACAATCAAAGTCATCATAGGCTAGCTTCTAGGGTTTAGCCTCTACGATCTCGTGGTGGATCAACTCTTGTACTACTCATATCATCAATATCAATCAAGCAGGAAGTAGGGTTTTACCTCCATCGAGAGGGCCCGAACCTGGGTAAACATTGTGTCCCTTGCCTCCTGTTACCATTAGCCTAAGACGCACAGACCGGGACCCCCTACCCGAGATCCGCCGGTTTTGACACCGACATTGGTGCTTTCATTGAGAGTTCCTTTGTGTCGTCGCCGCAAGGCTTGATGGCCCGTCTCATTGTCAAGGACAACATCACCTCTGGGGGAGCGCTGGCCGTAGGCCAAACTCTCCGACTAGGTGGCTTCATCATGACTGCCCTGTCGGCTGTCGCGCCAACGATGACCTCTCGGGTCATCACGCATAACCTCCACGTCGATTCGGAACTCGCCGAACAGATGGATCCGATGGAGCTCTCCTCTCTTAATGAGCTCTTGGATCGCATCGCCGCTCTGGGAGTCGCCACAGACTATGACTGGATTGGGCTTAAACCCGATCAAAGGGACATTAAATCCCCACCGGCCACCCACGAGATAGCGGTAGTGGAGGAGCCACATACGGATTACCCCTCTATCTTGAGGACGAGTTATGTCCGGATCACCGAGCTCCCGGAGCCGGACACCCGCTCAAGGGAAGACATGACCCAGACCCCGGACTTAGAATCGGATATTGGGCCGGAGAAATTGGGCAGCACCCCGGATCCCGAGCTGTCAAGCCCGGAAGCTTCCCTGCCCCAGGGCGTTAGATCGGATCAGAATCCGGATTCAGCTACACCCACCCACCCATACTTAAACCCTCTCTCCCATATCAGACAAGAGCCCGAAGAGACAGTACATCGCTACTGGGCCAGATTCCTCCTTGTGCTAAACAAGGTCAAGGACTGTCGTGAGGAGGACACAGTCTCACTTTTCTGCAAAAACTGCACGGACAAAGGAATCCTTAATGCCATAAGTCGTCGTGACATAGCACACTTTGCTGACTTGGCAACCATAGTACAGAAGTACTATGCGATGGAAAGCGCCTGGAAAACCCAAACAGAATTTTGGGACAATCCGACTGTCACTAAAACCTCTGTCCGAGCTAAGAGGGCGAACTCTCATAAGTCAGCCGATCCAATCAACAAAAAACCAAAGCCCACTCCAGGGCATGGAACCGTATTGGAAGAATGGCTCAACGGGCCATGTAAACTCCATAGCACGCCGGACACTACACCAACACATAGCCTTAGAGCATGTTGGATACTCCGGCAGGTAGCAAAAAGTGGCGAGGATCTTCTTGTAAGCCATAAAGCAGAACAAAGTCCCGCCAAAGAAAACAATACGGTACTAACAGTCTTCGATACTTTCGCCTCAAACAATAGGCGCAAGCAAGCTCATTGAAGCTCTGCTAAAATCTTCCACGTGGCAAAAATAAATCCGTGGACCGACACTGCTATAACTTTCAGTGCCA